TTTCCAATGAGTTCAGCCTCATCACGCTCATCATTGGAAATGATAGGAAATTTTGATATCATTTGATTTTTGAATCCTTGGAAATCCAATGTCATGTTTAGTGAGAGCCCCAGCTGAGCCAACCGACAGTCGCCTATAGGCATGTGCCTGGTGCTCCCTTTGGGCGTGCCCGAAGAGAATTTGCGGATCGCCTTGCGGAAATCGTGAACGGAAAGAAGCTTCCAACCGTGCTGATGGCAGACCTGAATTTCCCTGAAAAGGCCTTTCAGGGGACAAGATGAAGGTAAACAGGAAGCAGCAAGACTCTGCAAAATATTCCAAGCTTGCTTCCAAGTCCGATTCTTAAGATTGCAAAGATGGTCACCCATTAAACCTATTTACTAGAACACAACCCATTCCGTTTCTTGGGATTCTAGACGTCACCAGGATTCAAGAAGTCCCGGGGGCACTTGGGTGCTGGGCTTCAAGAAGTATCTTGTTAATCTTCAGCCGGTCAGGCCTGGGATTTGAGACGCTTTTCTGCTAACTCTCGAGTTTGAATCCTGCATATAGGGCAGCAGGATGCGGCAGGTGATTGCGACCGATTGCGTTCTGTGGGTTTGATTCTCTAAGATGCCCTAAGTACAGTCCCTTGCCGCACTTGAAGGTCAAACAGGACAACGCTGCCCACGTGCAAACTTGTGCCTTCCGGATGTCCAAACGGGTGCCTATAAAGCGCCCCATATAAGGGGGGTAACTAATAGGCACCCTTTAATTTTCAGGTCCCAAACTAACGGATAACGGAGTATTCGTAAATACTCGTGCATTTTTACATGATTTCATCACGTTTGCCTGTAGGTGTGAGTCTTCTCCAAGCAATACAATCAGTCTTGTTGACAACATGAAAGCACTGCCCCAAGAGGTTGATCTTTTCTTCGAAGTGAAGGCAATGGATATGATTCTTCAAGTTGTCCTACAATCCGACCTTTTTGTCCCGATTTGACTTTCTTCTCTTGTGCCTTCTGTGTTTCTGCCATGATATTTCTTGTGAGAAATCAAGAAAGACGTGCGTGTCACTGGCGTGCCGTGTCGGTCAGTAGGGGGTGTCTATTAAAGCACCCCTTAGCCAAAACGGGTGCCTAATGAGCGCCCCTTAGAAACGTGTCGGGTGCTTTTGGGACACCGCCTATATGCGTGTCATTTCGTGTCGGTTTTGACTAGTTTTGAAAGAGAGCAGGTATGCATGGGGGGTGGAGTTGTGAAAGGTTTGATTTTACAAGGTTTTGCATCATTATACATGAGTTGGGATAGTTATGAGATGGTTATGCTACATTTCAAACAAAACATTTCAAAACATAATATAATGTAATCTTACAAGAAATGTGCGTTCATCAATGATTTTGACACTGTGCTTGGAAAGTGAACAACACACGACTGACCAAAAGACTACATTTTCTGCAGAAATGTGGTCTCTTTCCAAGAATGCTTTATTTTTTGTTTAGCATTTTGGAAAAGAAAAAATGTCTATATACAATGATCTTGATGCCTGCCATGAATTCTGCATTATATTGTTGTACATATTACTATCTTATATATGTATATATATATACACTATTTGACAAATTTATTGGGTTTTTTCACAATAGTTTATGTTTCTCGAAAAATGTATTTGATATTCAACAGACATGAGTGCAATTTCCAGCTGCAAATTCTGAATTTCCTGAAAAGTGTTCTGCATCCTTTCATGCTGCCCATGAGTGCTTTTCAATAAAGAACATGTCCAAATTGAACATGCACTTCTTCAAAAGATAGTTCAACTACAATTGAATCTAGACCTTCTCCAGGCATAATCTTTTTTTTGCCTTAAAAGCGCTGCCTTGTCGAAAAAAATAACACACTTGCAGGGAAACAATGCATTTCGTGCATGAAAGCGCAACTGAAACTTGAGACATGCACTTCTTGAAAACACTGCTGTATCTTGAACAGTTTCTTTTTGAGCAGTGAATTGTGTACTGTACCTTTGTGAAAATGTAAAAATACAAGCACATGTTTGAAAGATTTATTGCATGCTCTGCACAATTGCTGCCCCTTTCAAAGGAGATAATGGGCTGTAGGCTGTATTGAACAAAACTTGGTTGTATTCTCCAGCTATAGGTTGTACACTCCCTGCTTGGGGTTATGGATCCTTGAATGGCATCTTGCTCATTTTTGTAGGAGTGATGTCTGACTAGTGGGAGGAGGAAGGATTCGCTTTGAAAATATTGTTGTATATGTCAACCGTACATTTTGTTTGAAAAACTAGTACATCTTAGACTAGTGTTTTTCAAGATATAGTGCATGACTACAAGAATGTTGCTTCTTTCAACCTATTACATTATACAATGAAAGTTTGAACCTTTAAAATGGACATGTCTGTTCAAAGGAATACCATCATGCAAGAGTTGCCAAGAAGAATAATGTGGCATTCTACAAAATAGTATCTGCTTCTTCCAAAGGAAAGCAACATCCTTCTTTAGAGGAATCTTGTCGTGAGGGATACAATATTGTCTTTTTGAAGGAGCAAACACTTTGAGACAAACATATGTTTTGTACAACAAAGTGTTGCTTGAACAAACAATTTTTGAAAAAGTAGATGTTTTCCCCGAGAGCGTCTGAGCGCAGGGTTCTTCCAATAGTGGGGGTCTGTATCTCATCTTCTCATCTTCACATCTTCTCATCTTCACATCTTCACATCTTCACATCTTCTCACCTTCACATCCTCACATCTTCTCATCTTCACATTTCCTCATCATCTTCACACATTCACATCCTCACATCTTCGCATCTTCTCATCTTCACATCTTCTCATCTTCACATCTGCTCATCTTCACATCTTCTCATCATCTTCACACATTCACATCCTCTCATCTTCACATCTTCTCATCATCACATCTTCTCATCTTCACATCTTCTCATCTTCACATCTTCACATCTGCTTTCACATCTTCTCATCTTCACATCTGCTCATCTTCACATCTTCTCATCTTCACATCCTCACATCTTCTCATCTTCACATTTCCTCATCATCTTCACACATTCACATCCTCACATCTTCGCATCTTCTCATCTTCACATCTTCTCATCTTCACATCTTCTCCTCTTGCCTTCTTGCCCTCTTGCCCTCTTGCCCTCACATCTTCACATCTTCTCCTTTTGTCCTCTTGCCCTCTTGCCTTCTCCTTCTTTTCTATTTTTCTTCTGAAGGCGGGGGCAGGGGCAGTGCCAACGAGACGGCACGAAACGCAACCCTTTCGCACGAAATGAGGTTCGATCGCTAAAAACTGAAGTAAAATTGCGATTTCCAAGTCGTCCGGACAACCCTTTCGCACGAAATGAGGTTCGATCGCCAAAAACTGAGGTAAAATTGCGATTTCAACTTGTCCGGCGCAACCCTTTCGCACGAAATGACCTGGAGAGGTTGAAGGGCCTTATAAATCGTGAAATTTAAAGACCTTAAAAATCAATCTTTGGCTTTGATTCTCGAGCCGCATGTGCTTAGGATCAAGGTGTTACAACACTTATGGACTTCTTTTGAACTTTGTATATATATATATATATATTGTATAATTATCAGCCTATACATATTACTATTTGAACCACGTATAATACAACTAATTATCAGTATAATTTGGACTATGTATAATATATAATAATATATATAATATAACATAATAATGTACCTCAAACACTATGTATATTAATACAAGTACCTCTAGGATGTTTTCAGCCTTCTGGTACCGTCTTGGTTCATCGCTGCGTCTCTGAGAAGAAAAACAAAGACACCCCTGGACATATCCATGGGTGTCTTTGATGCCATATATGATCATATATGTACATATATATATGTGGATATTTACAGGTATAGCCCAAGGTTAAACATATGTTAGTGTTTGTAGATTTCTGTGTTTTATACCATTATTATTGCTTTACAACCCATGCCTAACATCATAAAGCAACCTTGTGTAAAATTGAATGTGTAATTTTTGGCATGTGCTGCGTGATTTGGCTGCAACCTTTTGCTTGCCCGGCGCCGTGCATTTCCAGCGCAGCTCAAAACCTGAGTGCGACATTTTTTATCATGATGGCGGGGTTAACATAGGGCAAAAGTGACACCTAGTAGGTGGACATACCAAATTTTCCTTTGATGAAAACACTGATGAAATCACATCATTCAACATTTTCCGTTTTTGAAACTGGCCCGGCATGCGGGGAGATGTGAGCAGAGGCTCGCCCAGTGGGGAGTGGTCTTACTGGATGTTTCTTCTCGGTCGAGCTGGCCATACAGTATCAATGTGTGCTGGCTCAATTTCCAGCTGTACCATTTTTCTGACAAGAATATCAGAAAAATCATTGAAGAAACAAATCATGTTCAGCTATCTTCCTTTTGGGTTTGTGTCTTTATTGTATGGGGACATGTTTAGAGATTGTAATGATAACTTATCTGTATAATTATAGTTGTATGTTTAAGGGATACCTGTTACAGATTTGGTACGGCTTAGCTTTTCAAATCCCTCGCAGCCATGGGCAACCGAAAACCTTGGGGTGAAGGTGTGGCAGCACGCCAACGCCGTGAACGAAACCGAAAAGCTAAACAGGTTGTTGCATGGGCATTACCCCATTTGGATATGGAGAGAATTGAGTCAAGTGGGGAAATTTGGCCCAGAGGGTCTTTGAAAAAAAAGAAAGTTCTGGCGGTAGTCGAACCATGGATCAGCAAAACAACAGGGCGGTTTTTCACCATGAAAGTCTCAAAGCTGGTTTGCCGCCAGATCTGGGACAAACTGCCCTTCACCCCACCTAGGGACCCGTCTCTGTCGTTCTCTGATTACATGGTGGTCCAAGCTAAAAGGCTACTCCGACTCTCAAAGGCCTGCAAAAAACGCGGCCGTAGAATGGCTGACCCGACTATGTTGGATACCCTGGTGGACGTTGACGCCCAATGCTCAGTAGTCTGGTGTGTTTGAAAGATATGGTGCAACGATACAACCCAAGAGTCAAGAGTGTAGCATCCAAAAATGGATTTTTTGATATTGGCAATCGCATTTTTTTTGGAACCCTGATTTCAAACAATCGATCCCATTTTGTTTTCAAAGTTGACAACCAACACGCCCGTTACTGCCAACCAATGAGGCTGATGAGCATGCTGCAGAGATGGTTCACACCTTATTCTGTGAAATCACCCGAAGTTTACCTTTTGAAACAGGTGCTAATGTGGTTCCAGTCATAATGTGCCGAAGGAACTGTTCCTGCATCACCGCGTGGCTCGAGGCGAAGCTCCTCGAAAATCACGAAGGAGCCACTGGAAGTGCGCATGCTTTCGATTTGGACATTGGCTCAAAATTAAAATTTCAACACGGGTTATACCCTTCAGGGTCAGTTTATAGTGGTGGAACCCATGTAGTTTTGTTACAAATCCAATTCAAATCAAATTGGCATCAAAAACAATGATATTTTTCCACACTTTCAGCCCATTGAAATTTTGGGACCTTGCTGGAGTTATACAGAGATATGCCCATGGTAAAAAAAACGTAAACAGCTTGGGATATACACAAGATAACCTATATATCTGTATAGATATTTGTTTGGGTTATAGCTGGAGCTCACTACATCGCCAATTGCTCCAAGTTTCAGGATGATCCAATGGAGGAAGATGTGCCAGCCAACGGTTCCTGGGATGAGGAGGACGCTGCAGAGTGGGTAAAGTCAAGTATTTCTGCGCTGCCTAACGGTATATGTACCCCCCAAAGCGCAACAGCAACAAATTCAATGGGGAATATGATCATACACCACTTGAGCTTTGGGGTGCCCTATTTTTGGTGCAAAATTGGGTGGTTGTGGCTCGAACAAAAATGTGAAAATAGGGTTGTAAAGGTCTTAGCCCCACAACATATCAAATTTAAGTGGTACACATTTTTGGTTTGAGCCACATCCATACATGTCCCGATGTGGATGTAATCCTGATTGGTTTTCAACTGTCAGGACTGTCCGATTAAATTTTCTGTCAGCGGGTTTTGGGACCACATATTTGGTGATTGTCTTTCATTTTTGCAGCACTCTGAAGCTTGTAGCGCCCCAAAACTTTTGAATTGGTGGTTCATTTTTTCATCTAGCAGTCTTTGTCCCCACCCCCATCGCTTCATTTTGCAGGATGCCCATGGAGAAGCTGCGGAAGTTGAGGACTGCAGCAATCCAGCATCGGACTTTTTTAAACTCTTATTGTGGGACCCTGGGTGAGGAAGAGGCGGCCAAAGAACCACCAGCTATGACTTACGAGGACTTTGTTTAGATTTTGATCTTAATTAGCATAGGGTGGAGTGCAACCTACAGCTGTGAATTTGGAAAGGATTGGGAGTACGAGCTTGGGGGCTATGACTCTGAGGCTTGCATGTGAGTCCATTTGGATGTGTTTTGAAAAGTACAAGCTTCGTCATGAGCACCTGGCGTGCAGGCTGAGTGCTTGGGCCATGCGACGTCTTCGGACCGTGTGTGCTATGCTTTCACAATGAGCTTTTTATACGCAAGTTTCGATGCCTACATGTTCAACCCTTCAGGACTATTACAGGGCTTACAAGCGCATAGCTGAAATCAAGGCCGGTGTGTGCCTGTGCATGTGCCATTGTTTGTTTGCATTCGCTTTTTCAAAGTCCATAGTGCGCTGCATTGGCAGATGCTACGAGCTGCAGAGCGTGGTGAGTGCCTGGATCGTGCAAGTGCTTCAGAGGCTGGTACTCAGCTGAGAAACCTGGCAACTTTCAAGCTAAAAAGCACGCAAGGATTTCAAACAGTAATTTGTCCCATTCTATACTATAGGAGTGGGAGGGAAAAAAGGAAAGTAACACAGTCGTGGTTGGACCCATCATTTTGTTTCCCAAGTTCATAGATGTCACGCAGGAGTCCGCAAGCTCTGAGCAGAGCTACATGTGCAATGGTGACTATGAGGCTAGCGCAAGTGAAATTCAGAGGTTGAGCCTTAATTTACTTACAAATAGTTCTCATGTGCAACATGTTTCAGGATGGCGCTTCTGGCGAGAAGCATCCTGAAGACCAGATTCATGACCGTCCTGTGCAACTGTTTTGGTTTTTAGTCTTGCAACCCTTCAATTTTGGAACGCTGTTTATCAGCATGTCGGACTAGGACTGGTGGAACTCTTTTGCTGAGGAGGCATGCAGTGTTTGGAGCCTCCAACCCTGTTGCATCTCATCTCATGCATGCTTTCTATAGGCTGGGCAGCCCAGCGCTGAAGGCGATGGAGAGGCCCGCTTTTTCTTGGCTGTAAAATCGCAGTATGATCGGTAGTGACTACATGGCCATAGACATGCTGTCTTTTTGGGATTCATCCTGTATGTCCAGGCTCCCACCTGGTCGTTTGACCATGCCGAACAGAACCAGTTCTATGACCCAGAGGTCCTAGCAATGTTTGGGGAAAGAAAGTTTTGCAAATCATGTTTTTGGTGTGGTAGGACGAGGAGTGGTTTGATCATTGTTATGAGGTGGAGGTGGGGTGGTGAGATTTATTCACTGCTATGTCAGCCTATAGCTCTTAATTTTCTAGTTCTAGTCCTGTGTGCCTGCAAGTTTCGTGAGGCCAAGGACCATGACCTCTTCAATGATGAGGCCAGGATAACAAATAGGAAATCATCATAACACCCCCACACACACACATTGCCCATGTGCAAATTTTGCCTGATGCAGGCCATGGATTGCGAGGATAATGTTGAGGCAAGGCGCCATACATATAGTCTTCTGCTGACATAGTTCGTGGACTGCAGGTGCACAGCTGGCCTGGGCATAAGGATGGCCACGATGGTGAGGCTCCTTCTTGCAAGGCTCAAACAAAAACCATCAAAAAAAACACCGCATCCAAAATCAAGGTCTTTTGTTTGCCTCTTGCTGACCTTTGTGCCTCCAGGCTATTCCGGAGTGGGACGAGTCCTATGGATATGGCCTTGCTGACCAAGAGGCCAGGAGGCATGTGTGGTGGTGGAGTCTGAAACTCTCGCCTCGTGGTTGCGCAGGTGCTGTCATGGTGGATTGACAACGTGGAGCATTACGACCACATTGCCCAGGCATTTTTTTCAAGTGTATTTGCTTTTGATTTCCGTTCTCTGGTAAAACATGGTATATTATATACATACATGCATAGTCTATCATAGATAAACATACATAGACATATATATACATAGACACATATATATATACATAGACATATATATATATGTATTTTTTTATATAACCCGTATCAAATTTTCAAAACATTTCAGAACTAGCAGCTTCATGATCCCAGGATTCCAAAGCTGTGGAAGAAACGGACCGTGTTGATGAGGCCAGGACACTAATACGCCCAACATTTGATATGTTTACTTTTGGTGCGCGCTAGGCGCTTCATGGTGAAGAGAATCACCCCTCTGAGGCATGGAAACTTCAAGTTTTGCAGTTTCGTGCAACTGGGTGGCCATATTTCGCACAGTGTAGACCCACTTCCGCTCCAGGATTCCACACACCTTGACTTGATCAGCATCAGCAGCAAGGAGGATGCATTCACGGAGATGGAGGCTTGGGGTCGATCTACAGGTATACCAATGAGCTTTGCAGCTGGCTACCTTCAATCTTTCAAAATCATGCTAAGGGGTATCTTGACATATGTTTTTGAAATTGGCACTTACTAGGTGGAAGCCCTCATTGCAGAGTACATGGATATGCCGGGCACTGAGGCCAGTGTTTTCTATGGCATGGTCTCCCCAACTTGGAACTTGGAACAAGTCAACTAGTGATTTCATTCTCATGCCATGAGATGGCAGGAAACCATGACAAAACACTTGTGATGTGGCAGGTTCTGGACCCGCCGCCTTCCAGCAAGGCCAAGACTGCCACAAGCCCATTGTTCAACTCTTTCCCAACAAAAAAGTGAAAAGTGAACAGCCGTTTGGTTGACATGTGGCCGTTCCCCTACGGACTGAGGATGACTTCTCCAAAGTTCCGAAAGGTTGGTGGGATGATGTCGGAGTTGCCCCGAGCTCCTCTTCCTTTCAGGGGTTCACCTTTGAAGTGGATGAGACCCCCGATAAGTTGCCCCAACCGATGAAGAAGCGACAGCAGCTGGCTGCCAAGCGGCTCGAGCTACAGTTGCAATCCCAGCAGGTTCCGAAGGTGCCTGACCAGGATGCTGAGGCATCCACAGTTGTGAAGCCAACTTTGAAATCCAAGATCAAGCCAGCCAAGGGCAAAAAGGTTGAAAAGCCGAAAGGTGAAAAGCCAACTCGCAAGGCGGCAGATGGTCCAATGACGACCGCCATGAAAGCTTTTATGGAATCTACCAAAAAGAACAACACGGATATCAAGCATTCCGATGCTGTCAAGTTGTGGATGCAGTCAAAGGAACGCAGCAGCATCGTTGAAGCCCTCCCTCCAAATGAGAGGAAGAGGCGCCGATTTGAAAAGTAGATTTATGCGAGGTAATTGTGATTTGAAAAGGTAGGTAGATTTTATGGTATGGTGGCTATGGCAAGCATTGCAAGAATATGTTTTGAGTTTACAGCCTTTTGGTTTCGAACTTGAACTTATTCAGTTGTTTCAAAATTCAAGAGGCTCAGTTGTTTCCTGGAAAGTGCAGGTGTCAAGCCACAGGGGTTCCAGGCAAACGCAGGCAATTGCCTTTGGAGAAACCATGTGCAAAGCAAATGTTGCTAGCGCGAAGTTTGCTAGTATGGGTTTTCTTGCGACGCAAGTTCAAGTAACTGTGCCATGTTCAGGCCACAGATTACAGTCCAACAACCTGATCAGCCATTGGTGTCCTGATTGGGCAAATCCAGCAACTTCCGTCTTCGTGCGGGCGGAAAGGAAGCAATATACTATATAGCTGATCAAGTGATCTACTTTTGTTTGTGGAGTGGAATGCCCAATTCATCTCTATCAGCTGACTTTCTTCCCAAAAGCATGTCAATTCCCCAAACCGATCCCTCATGCCTTCGCATTTGCAGGCGTGCATGAGCCTCGCTGCTGCTGCAGGAAATGGCAAGCAACCCTTCGGGTTCTGGAAAGGCCTGGGCTGCGATGGGTTACCAGTCATTTTTCATGGCCGATGGTCCAAAACATCAAACGACGTGAATTGTGTTTGGATCACCTTTTTGAACCAAGCTGTTTACCCCTACTTTGCAGCTGCGTAGGCCTCTGACCTCTAGGCTAGCTGCTTTTGTGTTTGGTTTGGAGCCATGAAATACTCCAGCCTTGCTGTAGTTGTGACGGCTTTATTGGCCGCAAAAGGAGTGGATTCCAGTACGCAATTAAAATTAAATCACGATCTAAACCGTTACCATCAGATACACTTCAACCTGTCCCTGCCAGGTGTGAACTCGAGATTTAATCCCTTTTGTTGCTGGATCATTTTGGGAGGATTAAATTCTGATTTAATTCTTTGCTAATGACATCTGGAGATTCCAGGGGGAGGTATCCATCTGTGGGGAATTAAATCTTGATTCAACTCTTTTTTATGGTGTGCGGCCTTCATTTTGGGGCATTAAATCTTGATTTAATTCCTTTTCATTGGGAAATCCCGGGTTCATTTCCTTCATGTCATTTGGTTGCCAGCTGGCTCCGCACCCGACCCTCCAGAGCCACAAATCATTGGAAAAACACAGTGTTTCGCGACTTTTCCTACCTTTTCACGCATCTGCATCTTCTTTCTTCTTACTCTTTCTCTTCTACTCTTCTTTCTTCTAATCTTTCTCTTCTCTCTGCCTCTTCCCTGCTCTGCTTTTCATCTGTCCATATTGTCGGAAGTTTGACTTCTAAACTTCCTTCGATTGCAGTTAAACTTCGGGCAATTGCACTTAAAGAGACTACATGAAAAGAGTAGAGAAGAGAAAGGGAAAGAATCAGAAGGATGGAGAAGGTAGAGGAGAAACAAAAGAGTTGAAAAGAGAAGGGAAGATTATATACAAGCAGAGAAGGGAAGAAGAGGGAAGAAAGAGCAGGAGGTATCAGAGACAATTTGAACAGAATCAACTCAAGATTTAATTCCTTCTCAAGAGATCCCATACAAACTGAAAGAGCAGGAGGTATCAGAGCCAGTATGAACAGAATTAACTCAAGATTTAATTCCTTGTCAAGAGATCCTATATCAACTATTACAGGTGAACTTCGGGCAAGTGCACTTAAAGAGACTGCATGAAAAGAGTAGAGAAGAGAAAGGGAAAGAATCAGAAGGATGGAGCAGGTAAAGGAGAGACAAAAAAGTTGAAAAGAGAAGGGAAGAATCAATACAAGCAGAGTAGGCAAGAAGAGGGAAGAAAGAGCAGGAGGTATCAGAGCCAATATGAACAGAATGAACTCAAGATTTAATGTCCTTCTCAAGAGATCCTATATCAACTATTACAGCTAAACTTCGGGCAATTGCACTTAAAGAGACTACATGAAAATAGTAGAGAAGAGAAAGGGAAAGAATCAGAAGGATGGAGCAGGTAAAGGAGAGACAAACAAGTTGAAAAGAGAAGGGGAGAATCAATACAAGCAGAGTAGGCAAGAAGAGGGAAGAAAGAGCATGAGGTATCAGAGTCAATAAAAACAGAATTAACTCAAGATTTAATTCCTTCTCAAGAGATCCC